CTCTTCTTCTCTCTCTCTCTCTCTCTCTCTCTCTCTCTCTCTCTCTCTCAACCTCCTCTCTCTCTCTCTCTAGAGCCAAAGACAAACAATGCAGGACAAAGTTCCAAACTTTGAAACCCACTTTCTTTAATCCAATGCTAGAAAGAGAAAAAGAAGAAACCTACCTCACTGAGTCAGAGGAATCAGCAATAAGTTCTTACGAAAAGTAGGTGCCCCAAATGAATGAGGGGGCAAAGCTTAGAGAGAGAAAATAAAAACTTTTATTCGACGCTCTGGTTCAAAAGGTACTGAGATACCGAACCAGAGGATAGGCAGTCATTTGAGACCTGAAATGATGAAAAGTGGGTTTTATAAAAGAGAGGAATCTGGCACACAAGGCCTCTCTGTATAAACACCTCGTAGTGCGTAACAGGCGCCCGAAACACAGTGGAGTTTCACTGCTCCAAACCCCATTCATCTCTTTCTCTCTCTAAAACCCATTCATCTCTCTTCTCTCTCTCCTCTTCCTCTCCTCTCCTCTCCTCTTTCTCTCTCTAAATCAGCAGACAAGGATTCACCCCGCGGTAAATTGTCAGTAAAATGGCGGCCTCTAGCCCCCCCTTCACACAGCTTCACGCGACTAAAACTCTCTCTCTCTATAAAAAGCAATAACTGGTTCTTCTCTCCCCACTTCCCAACTCCCTCTCTCTAAATCTCCCCACTTCCCAACTCTCTCTCTCTCTAAAAAAACAAGAAAACAAAACGGTAATGCCTCCTGTTAACGTGTCAGAAACACTATTTTCTAACTTTATTAGAGAAAAAGGATAAAAAAAACCCTTCCTTCTCTTTCTATCTCTCTCACTTCCTCTCTCTACGTGTGAATGACCGAAATACCTTTAGATTGCTTTGGGATTTATGTAATAAAAAAAAAAACAAAAAAATTACGTAGAATCGAGTTCTAAACAATCAAAATAGAGTCCATCCCAACAATTTCACTATTTTGATGCCCAAATTAATCTAGCCATCTAAGATGTGTGGACGTGAGAAAAAAAAATAGATTTCAAGTTTTTGAAATAGTATATTTTGTAAGGTATTTTTTACGTTTTCATAGATACGCTTGATCTACCTATGAAACTTTAAACTTTATAATTAAAAATAAAAAAATATTTTAAGGCTATTACAAATATTTTCAATATTAAAACTATTTCTTGACATTATTTGAAAATAAAAACATTTGTTAAAGCTATTACAAATATTTTCAGTATTAAAATTATTTCTTGACATTATTTAAAAATATAATTTATTTCGTTTGTTCAAAGCTTCGGCTCTACACAAACTGCCCTCATATAAAAACTAAAATAAATAAAGTCAGTACATTTCACTCTTGGAAAGTGATGTAAATATCCTTATCAACTCCAATGTTTTCCTTCCAATTCTCTCTAGGATTCTCCTAAAACCCAGCTTGCTAAAATTGTTTAGTAAAGTAATGTTAAAATAAGATGGGCCCATATACCAAGCATGTGCCCCGGCCTTTTCCCAATTTAACGGCATGTCTCGGTCTCTTCGAGGAATTCGAGGACACTTTCGGCATTTTCGGAATTATGTCGAAGCAATCCCTTAGAATATATGTTATTTAATATTCCTTCTTTGTTTTTTTTTTCTGTGTACTTTTTTATTGAACGGTTTTTTCTCTTTCCCTATTTATCTTCTTTTCCTTCTTTTTTTTCTTTTTTGACAAATATTACTAATTGTTATTGAAACCACGTAAAAGATATTACATGATTAGCAACAACAATATTAGATAAAAAAACACCACCCTTGGCCAGTTCGTCCACCACAGTATTAGCTTCTCGATACACATGAGAGAAAAAAACAATCAAAGAGGAAAATAGGTCCATAATCCGCAACCATAAAGACCGAAACTCCCAAATAATGTGTTGCTCCTTCTTATACCATTTAATCGAATTCAGTGCATCACCCTCTATTACATAATTGCTGCCATAGTTTTTATCAATAATGATCTTTAAGCTATAGAACAACGTACTAAGCTCAGCAAAATTTCCAGTTCCACAACCTAAAGGACTCGCATAAGAAAGAATGATGCTACTAGAGCTGTCCCATAGGACCCCACCATAAGCTGCTAACCCAAGATTGCTTAAAGAACTGTCATCAAAATTAAGTTTCAGAATACCAGCATGGGGCGCTGACCAACCGCATTTCGGTCTATTACTAGTAATACCATAAGAAAAAGGTTATGTAATTTTGTCATCACATCAACCTTCGAAATACCCCAACCTGCACTATTCACGGATAGCCAAGACCAAATTGTGACTTTAATAGAGTTAATCAATCTGTCCATGGGAAGAGAAACCCTTTCAAATATCCTTTTATTTGTCTCTTTCCAGACTTCCCACAAAATGAGTCATTTATCCATCTTCCAAATAATATTATCAACTTTCGTCAAGTGAGGTAAAGACAATTGAGTAACAATCTCCTCCACATGTTAAGGAATAACCAAATTTATATTAAGCACACCAATCAACCAATACCAAATGCGTACTGTGAAAGGAAAATGAATGAGAAGGTGTGCAACCGAATCACGAACTTTACACAATAAGCACACATTGGGTATAATCTTACCCCTTTTGATTAAATTGTCAGTTGTCAAAATCCTGTTCAAATTAGCCAACCAAATAAATACCTGAACCTTGCGAGGTATCGGTCATTTCCAAACCTGAGCAATCCGGGGGCAAGACCACTGCTACCTATCATGAAATAGGAGATTGTAGCAAGACTTGACGGAAAAAACACTATCACTTTCGATCTCCCATTTATCATCCAGGACAAGTTGCCCATGCGAGAAAACTAGACGCAGATCAATGACAATGATTGTGCTTTGGAGCAGTGTTTATTAAAAGGAAAAGTATATAATGGATTGATATCAAATTCGCTTTGTTTCAGCGAAGAGGCCGTAGTCTTCAGAATTTAAGCATAAATCAAAGCAAAGAAAAGTGTGGTATTGTCGCTTCAATCAAATTCGGGTTGCTTTGGCCTACTTCGGGTCTGCTTCGGGCCGCTTTGGTCATAAAATAAATACCTATATAAAATTATTTTTTTAATTTTTTCTATTATTTTTATATACTTTATATATAAATATCTAATTTATTTAAATTAAATACAAAAAAAAGTCCAAAGTCTTCATCTGGATTGACCGAATTATGAAATTGCTTTGTTTTTCTAACCAAACCGAAAAAGACTCTAACGCGAATATGACAATATTGATATAATGAGACCATTTAACTTTTGTACAAGGTGGTCACAATTAATTTTGACTATTGGAAGTGAAATTAGGTGGCTGTATTTATTTCATTTACCGTGCTCAATATTCAAATTAATTTTTCTCGAACTTTGTGACACATCCAATATATTGGATTTCACATCAGATAGTTACAGGCAATTGCGACCTCTTTATACGAAAGGTAAATGGTATCATTGTATATAATCTCTTGTTAAAATGGGTTGTTGGGGCAGATTGTCTACTATCGCTCTTGATTTGAATCGATTGGATATACAATTCAGATCGTTCTCAAATCATATGGGTGATTTTTAAAATATATATATATATATATAATATACTTCTTGGGTGGGGATTTAGGGGGACATAAGCTTAAAGAAAAAATAAAAAAATAAAAAAGGGTTTAGGGCACTCGGCCAGGACCATACTATTTCAGAATCTGTTCGGTCCTAATTGATCCTGCATCCAGATTTATGACTCGAATTGGAAATTACCGGGTTATAAACACTGATTTGAAGATGGCTAACCAAATGTTCATGCATGACAAGTTGACAAGGGTAGCAACCCATCCGATGGGTTGACTTGGCGCAAGTATGAGTCCATACTCATATTGGACCCAATGAGACAATTTTGCGTCTAAAAGTACATTTACATCTAGGTCTAACCGAACATGACCTGCTTTTTATATATAATATGAGTATGGAATAGTTTTTAAGTCAAGGGACACCATTTATTTATTTTTAATATAAACATTAAGAAAAGGGCACCCAAAATAGATGGTGCAAAAAAAATTAAACGAATATTTTTACAAATTTCACTTTTATTTCATTTTCAAGATCACCCTACCCTAAATTATGAATCTCTAAAATTTTAAGTCCCAAAATCCATATTTAAAATGAACTTTAGAGGGTAGATGCAAATGCACATATAAGTCGATGAACTTGAGAAAAGCTGTCTATATGCTATAATATTCATATATTATAAATTTATTTATAATACAATATATTATGGAATCATTTATAATTAATTAATTTTTTTATCTTTCATCTAAACCCAATTAGGCTTTGTTTGAAGGAAAATGGTTTGTTAGGGCTCCGGCCCTATCGAAATAAGTAAAGCCTCATCCAATAACTTGTTCAAAATTGTGATTCAACTATTAGAAAACCTTTACATTGGATCATCTCGGCTTGAACGTTATGGTTGTAAAAAAATATTAGGATTTTACGCTCTACAAATAGTGTATGTTATAACAAATTATCTAGATCTATTTCGCCTAAACATAAGTGTTCACAATGTATCATTTTTTAAGTTTTAAAATTTATTGTCGGTGTTAGAAAATGATTTTACGGCTATCATATAGACTTTCCATAGCCGGAAGTGCTTTTTGAATTAGAATTTGAGGCGAGGATTTGTTTTGTTTTTATAAAACCTAAGCCCAATAGAGACTTCGTCATTGTCTAAATATAATGAAATGGACTAAGTACAGGTTCAAGCCGCTCTGAGTCCAACTAGGACCCAGCCCAATCGGTTCCAACCCGATCCGACCTGAACCATTAATACCCACACACGGTTGCAATGCTCTTGGACATGAGAAGTTGACTTCATTTAAGAGAGACTTCATTGACAAGAGAGAGAGCTCTTCGGACAAGAAAGGATGAACTTCTCATTTCCGAGAGAACCAGAACTCGTAGAGCGTGAAGTAAAAGAAAACAATAATCATTGTACTTTGCAGGTGGGGTAGGGTAAAAATAGAGAGAGAGAGAAAAATGACAATATTATTTGAAGAGAGAGAAAGAGGGAAGGAGTTATATAGTGGGCAAAGTTTGCTTTTTCTCTAGATTCAATCAAATCACTAAGCGATCCGTGCGCTGTAACCCGGATCTACTAAATCCATGGATCTCGATTTGTGAACAAAAGGGTACAGGGTAAACGGCAACACGTGAAATGGGACAGGAGAGAGAGAGAGAGAGAGAGAGAGGGGAAAAAGCTGTAAATCAAGTGAGAGTAGTAGGGTAAATGGTTTGAGAAATTAATGGAATTGCTTTAGTTGGTTTTTAATGAGATCGATGATGGTTCGTTTCTCGTTTTGTATACAATATTTGGGTTCACCCCAAAAAATGAATTTTTGGGGAGGTTAGGAATAAAAGACAATTGCGATACTAGCTTTGTTTTATGGGGTATAACTTTGGGCGGTTATAAAACAAATACCCATAGAATGAATGCAGCGGATGATGATGTCGAGATGGATAAGTAACAAAATAAGAAGAGATATAATTTGAAATGAATATATTAAGAGAATTTAGATGTGGCACCATAGACGATAAAATGAGAGAGTGGACTTAGGAGGACTAATTGTGTGCTACACAAACTTAGTACGGCATTGGTTAGGATGTGCAAGTTAATTTAAGTGAAAAGCTAATTTTAAGTTAAACAAGACATGATTGAAAGTAAAGATAAAATATATAGAGATTTATGGTTTAATTCCCAAGATATGACATTTAATATAACAAAATGACAAACCAAGATTTGTGTAACCAACTATAATTAATTGAAAAAAAGCTATGACGTTGATGACGACTGTCCACCTAAGAATGAGCGATCGATCGCGAATGGCACCATATATTTTGACCAAAATGTGAGAGCAATGAAATTTCTATATTAATTGCGGATCACATTCATATTGGGCAAGTTTTAAAATGGGTTTTGCAAAATCAATCGAATCAGAGTATTTTGTCGCTAGGATCCTAGTTCGCTTAAAACAAAGATTGAAAGATACTTTTTAATTCATGAGAGAATCTTGGTGATGGCAATATCCCTTGTTTTATTAAACGTAGGATTCTGAACTTTAACATTACCTACTTTCAACCATCTACTGAACATTTAATCATTGAGGGATTGAAATTTGTTAAATAAGAATATGAGATTTAAATCAGAGTCTATCTATAGTGATACTGAAACCTAGCATGACGCCCTGAGGCTGGACTATCGATCATTAAAACACGTCGTTGATCGAGCACCACATAAAGGGAGCTCATAGAGTCCCTAATGGCATCAGAACTTGGTGGATCTTTAATTTGGAATACTCAAAATTTTAGACATTCCAAGACTATTTATCTACTTTCATATCTAAGAAACCCCAAGCCATTGATGGATGAAAAGCTCCCTAAATAGAACTCGGATACCAACAAAAAAAAGTGGATATCTAATCTTAGGTATTACAAACATGCTATCCAAATTTCAGCCATTTTTCATGTTCTTAGACCCAATTTTTTAAGGGTCCAAGGTTAAATGGCCAAAAGGTTATTTAAAGACCAAATGTCAGTCACCGGACCTGATTGAATACTTATTTTTGGCAGATGTACAAGTGATTGAATCAATAATTTATTTGTTGAATAATTTAAAGGAAAATTGTTTCATGCGGGCTGGACCGCATGACTATGTGTTCCAAAAGTGTAAAGCATCGACACAAGTAGGTGTTCAATCCAAAACAATGAAAAACTAACGGTCCAAATGTTTTCTTACTAGAGTTATTATAGAATTCTTCAAATTTATTCTTTTTTTTTTTTTCATAATCATTATCTCCATGTTAGAGATTACATATCCTTAAAAATTAAGTAAAAAAATCCATCTCAAAAATGGATTTATTATTTGACCCGCATTTCTATATGTGCGGGCTTGGCCGCATAGAAACCAGGTCCATACTTAAAAGAAGCTAGGATTTGGCACGTCAAATGTAAATTCTCTTATTAAAAAAATGTAAACCTCGAGAAATTCATGAAATCCTTTTCACAACCATGAAAATAAAGGCTTGCCAAACCCTTATCCGGAAGAGGGAGGGTATTTTCCCCAAGGGATTTAGTGCCTCACATGTATTACATAATCAAAGCACTAAAGTAGGATAATCCAATCATCATAAGAAAAAAAATCAATTTATTAATAGCACGTTTGGTTTGCATGTTGTTTTCTAGAAAACATTTTATATGAAAAAGTTCTCTCATTTTATATGAAAAAGTTCTCTCATGTGATTAATTGTGGGAATATTTTTACATGAATCAATTGTCAATTGATGTGAAAAGATTCATTAAAACTAATTGGTACGAAAATATTCCCACACTTAACCACGTGACAGAATTTTTTTATGTGAAAATGATTTTTAAAAAACAATTTCATGTGAACCAAACCTGCAGTCTCAACAATCGTATTTATATCACATATTTACAAAAGAATAAAAATATCATGGTCTCAAGCCATTCTCAAGTGGCCAAGTCCACTCAACTTTCTTGCTTGTTCAGTTGATGACCAATGTTGGTAGTCCAGAAGACCACTCAACTTGGTTGTTACTCCCCAAGTAATAATCAAGTTGCCACAATCCGATCTGTTGAGCTTCAGCTTAGGCGTAGATGATATCAGCTTAGGTGAAGGAGGTCAAGGGTTCAATCCGGTCTCTTGAGCGTCGGCTTAGTGGTAGATAACATCAGTTTAGGTGAGGGAGGTCAAGGGTTCAATCCCTTGAAGTTTGTCCCAAAAGCCTAAACATGCTGACCTAGCATTATTTTTGAGTTGTGCCACAATCCTTCATCAAGATTGGGGTGGCTTTTGTGAACTGAATAGCCATCCTAAATGGTATGCTCACTCTCCTCCTATTACCAATAGTCCTTGCATGAACAATAACCGTCCTTGAAATGATGAAATCGGGTTCGATCCCTCATTATTATCTCCCTATCGTAAATCTTTGATGCTGCCTTCAACACACAGTGACAGTCACTGCACATTCGAAGGTTCTTCATGACCCGAATTGGGGTCTTTCGTCTCGTGCTCACGAGCCCAAAGGCAACAGCAAGCTTCTCACAATGCACTGAAAGAGCCGTCTCCTTCTCTTCTTCGTGTATGTTAAGCCACACATCTGAGGTATTTGGGATATACCCGCGCAGCCTCATTTGCTTCATCATATCCTCAAGCATCTCATATATCGCTCTGCTTTGTGGGTGTCTTTGATCACCTTGAAGAAACTCGTGTATACCATCCTTCAACTCAATCCAACTACAACCAGGGGTCTTCATTATTCCATTATCCTTCATTGCTTTCCTAACCTTCCTCACGTTAACCCAGCGTTTAGCTTTGGCGAATATATTGGATAGAAGAACATGGACTCCCTCATCTTTAGGCTCCAATTCGATAAGGTGTTTGGCCACTTTTTCGCCTAGCTCGAGATAGCCATATGCTCTACATGAGCTAATCAAGCTCCGCAAAATTACATTATCGGGCTCAATTGGCATCGTTTCCACCAGTTTAAAAGCATACTCTAACATGCCTGCCCGGCCAAAGAGATCAACCATGCAGCCGTAGTGCTCTAAACCGGGCTTAATATGATAATTTCTACTCATTACATTGAAGAAATGCATACCCTCATTCACCAAACCCACGTGGCTGCAGGCACGCAAAACCCCAGTAAATGTTATTGCATTAGGCCTCACACCAACCTCTTGCATTCTCGAGAAAATGCTCAAGGCCTTCTCTCCCATCCCATGAAGGGCGAAACCCGAAATCATCGCAGTCCAAGAAATCACATTTCTATCAGGCATTCTCTCAAAGACTGAGAAGGCCCTCATTATATCCCCACATTTGGCATACATGTCCACTAGAGCATTTCTCAAAGCAAGCGATCGATCAAATGAACCTGAGTCTCGCAAAGAAACTTTACTAGACACTCCTAAATAATTCAAATCTCCATCCATAGAGCAATTTAAGTTATTCACCATGGTGTTACTTGAGTTCTTCTCCATACAGTTGCACAAATTCTTCTCTAAATATCCATGAATGCATTCGCCCATGCGCAAGGCCCCAGAGCTAGCACAGACTGATAGCCCAATAACCATAGTGGCCTCTTCGAGCCTCTCTCCACACTCATGCATCTCTCTCAGTACCCTCAATGCGTCATGGGCTAGCCCAGCTCTAGAATAACCAGCAAGCATAGAGTTCCAAGATATCAAATTCCTCTCAGGCATTTCGTCAAACAACTTACGTGCGTTAAACATATCACCACACATCCCATAACCCGAGATCAAGGCATTATACGATACTACATTTTTCTCGTACATTTCATCAAACATTTGGCAGGCAAAATGCAAAGCACTACATGATCCATAAGCATGTATCAGTGCTGTTTGTATATAAATGTGTGATTGGAAACCCGACTTTAAACAGTGGGCATGGACCATTTTGAGCTCGAAGAGCAGGTTTAGGTGCGCGCAAGCCTTGGTTAGAGAGAGAAAGCTGTGGTGATCGAGAGAGAAGCCCTGAGTGTGCAGGTCTTTGTAGATTATGAGGGCTTTCATGGGTTCTGGTCCTTGAGAGAAAGCTCTAATCATATTTGCACATGAGTGATTTGAATTCTTGGTATTGTTGTTGGGCGAGTGTTTTTGCTGGTTTTCTATGATGGGTGGGCTTGGGGAAGCAGGGAACCGGGCAAGGATCAACATTCGGGAAGAGAGAGAACTTTGAACCCCTAAACTATCCCGTGGCGATAATTCAAAAATCCCCAATTTTTTGAAATGCATTTAAAACTCCGAGGGTTTCAAAACATCTTCAAAAAGCAACTTTTTTTAATGGATCCGATATAGATTAGTATTTTATTTTTTTAAAAAAATATTTCAAAAAAACTTCTTCCCACGGATTTTATTTATTATTATTATTATCTTTTTTGGCAAGTAACTTTATTTCTTCATTAACTTACTATTATTGTATTTTGGAATAAATATGAAATTTCATGAAAAAATTAACCAATTAGTGCCCTTTAAAAAAAATGTGTGCGAAAAAATACAAACAACATATTCTTAAAAAAAAAAATATTTAAAACAATCATATATCTTAAAATAACAAGCAAAATTAGATGAAGAGTAACCTAGTGAAATATCTATTTTTTTTCTTTAAACCCCTAGCGTCTTTATAAAGAGCAAGAAAGAGATTCAATGATACTAAATATTTAGGTAGATACGAATTCAGTGTGAGATTCAAATTTTCTTAAGCATTGTTGTTGTTGTTTTTATGCATATAGAACTTTGATTTTTTTCATATTTTATTTTTTATTTTTGTATTTTATTGGTATATACAACATAGCATTTTGGATGGACCACTATTTCACATATTTGGGTCTTTGTATTTTCTTTAAATTAGCTGCAATCTTATATTGAGGGTGTTTTTTGTTTTTTTTGCTTTAAAAAGTAATCATATACCTTGCTTCACAGTTCTTGTTATGTGCTAATTAGTTCATGTGTTTAGTATTATTGTTGTTTTGTTTTGTGTTCTCAATAAATCTATAATATGTTTTGTGATGTGACAACAAAGTAAATATTGTTGCTGGATTTATTGAATTTTTCAACAAAAAATTGTTAAATATTGTTCTATTGACACTAGTAAAGCTATAAAACTATTGATTGCTTTAATAAATCTATATAATAGCTGCAAATCATAATCTTATATTGTGTCATCTTTACATATTTGATTTGTTCACTACGTTTTTTTTTTTTAACTAGATCTGAATTGTTCACGATTATATAGCTTTCCTTATTTTTTAGGGGAATTATCTTAGATATACCTTAATTTAAGTTTAATTGGAAAATCCCCAAACTTTCGTTTATCTCGTCTACACCCTTTTTCCTTGCTTTTGATTTTTTATTTTTTTTACTAAAATGACTTTCACAGTAGTCGTATTACCGTAACAATTAGTGCATGTTATACAGTATTTTAACTACCGTAATACTTAGAGAACTTTATACGGTATTTTAAGTACTGTAATACTGAGGGCATTTTATATGGTACTTTAAGTACCGTAAACTTACATTGACTCTTAAGTTCCGTAAACATTAAGTCATGTCATATGGCAAACCCTTTTTATATTTATCTATTTCATTTTTGATTTCTTTTATGTTGATCTATTCTTTTTCTCTGTTTATATTTATCGATTTCATCTCTAACTCTATTTATTTTTATGTTTATCTATTATTTCTCCATCTAATTTTTTTTCATATTTATATATATATATATATGATTTTTTTTCGCATTCTTTTTTTTTCTCTTCTTTTTCTCTCTACAATCTTACTCTACGAGCCAATTTGGACATGGCCTAATATCCCAGTTAAGGAGACAAAGATTTAGAGAGAGAAATAAGATATATATATTAAAAAGGATGAGAGAGAAATAAGTGATAAACATAAAAAAAATATAAGGATGAAAGAGATAAATATAATAAGGAAAAAATGTTCTTGGGCATTTTAAGTCCCGTATATCATGAATTAGTTTTTATGGTACTTAAAATGCCGTAAAATTGATTTCAGTTTTTACCGTACTTAAAGTACCGTAATTGGCTTCACGGTTATAACCATAGTTTTACGGTGCTTAAAGTACCCTAATGATATCTATTAAAGTATTAAGGTATTTTAATTACAGTAATAGTCCTTCAACTTACTACTATATTTAAATTACCATAATGTTATGTACGGTAAAACGACTACCGTGAATGTTATTTTTGTTAAAAAAAGAACCAAAATTTGTGAGAAAGGATGTAGGTGAGGTTTTGAAAAATTGAGGGTTTTTTTTTCTGATTATAGTAAAATATAGGTATATTAGCGATAATTTCTTTATTTTTTAATGAAATGTATTTTTTACATGATTTTTTCCTTCGACTTTTTGAAATAAAACCGATTTATTACCTATGCTTTGGTCTGGCTGATATTTTATTGTTCTCCGACTTGCTAACAATGATATCTACCCTATATTGGGGCAAAATGCACTCAAAAGCCCTGGGAGCTAACAAGCATGCCGTTCAAAACCGAAAGGATCGGTCAAGATTCTATGTGGCAACCATCTAGTGAAAGTTCTAAAAACTTAGGATGAGCTATGATGAAGTGCCTAAACTTTTTTTCTTTTTTCCTTTTTTCAGAGGGTGTGGTTTGTATAGGGCTGAGGTTCTAAACAATCAAAAGAACACACACCTTCAAATAGTGTTGAAAGTCGTATTAGCACTAAAAATCTCGATGATAGCTTGAAAAATTATTTTCATCTTTAATTATAAGATTTAAAGCTTCCAAAATAGTAAAGATCAAGTTGATCTATGAACACTTGAAAACCTTAAAAATTGATGGTTTAAATAATGCATTAGAAGATGCATTATTTTCAAGACTTGAAATTCACTGTTTTTTTTTTATTTTTTATGTCCTTGTATTTCATGGCCATAATGTTTGGATTTGAGGGTTTTTCAACATAAAAATAAGTTATTTTAGTAAATTTTTTAGGTAATCCTTAGTTTGATTGTTTAGGGCCTCAATCTTATATAAACTTTTTCCTTTTTTTAAAAATTAAGGTTGGTGGCAGCAAGTTTCAAAAACTTGAGATAAAATTAGGACGACGCTGCGCAAACCTCTCTTCGAGATATCTGGATAGGGAAAAACTCCCACCCAGGGCAACGAATTAAAAAAATGTTTCCAAAGTTTAAGGAAATATTATTCATGACCATAGATGAAGATGGATCAAATCGGCCATCATTTTCTTCCTAAAGAATGAGTGATTGGGATCGCATGATATATCCCGTGGAAAAGTTATTCGGTCGGCATTAGAAAATATTGGTATTGTGTAGAACGATGGGATCATTTCATCCATTCATTCTCTTGTTAAAATCCAATCTAGGGTATTTTTAGGCCCCAAATTTTGGGGATGCAACCTTTTCAACCTAAATTTGAAAAAAAAAAAAAAAAGTTAATATAATTTTATGTGCATGAAAACATAATGTCTTGATATTAAAGATGGTCATATCTAAGTGTTTAACTCAATGGTATTTTTGCCTTGAAATTTATATCAGTGTTGTCAGATTAGTTTGGGAGTCTTTGTTTTGTTTTGGTCGAAAAAATGAAGTAATTTGGTGCTTCGGTCGATTTGGATGAAGACTTTGGAATATTTTAATTTTTTTAATATTAATAAAGTACCTATTTATATAGTAATGAGAAAAGTTTATATAGAGCCACGGCCTTAAACAATCAAATTAGAGCCTACGTCAAAATTTTCACTAGAAGAGGTTGTTTTAATGCCTAAATATGTTCAAATTGATCATTTCGACATCAAGATGTATGGACATAAGAAAAAATGGATTTCAAGTTTTGGAAACAGTATACTTTGTAACGTATTTTTGGACAGTCAATTTTCAAGATTTTAAAGTTTTTTATAGATCTCTTGATCTATACTATTTTTTAAGCTTTAAACACTATAAAGAAAGATGAAAATGTATTTTAAGGCTATAAAAAAGATTTTCAATATTGAAACCTCATTTCTCGACACTATTTGAAGGTATGCTCTAATTTGATTGTTTAGAGCATAGGCTCTATACAAACCGCACCCGTATATAAATATATCAAAGTAATAAAAACTTAAAACTAAAAATTTGAAAATAACAAATAAAAAGACAGTTCTATGCTTTAGCCAAAGTGGTCGAAGCTTTGGCCAAAGAGGTTGAATCATATACCGATGTGGGTTGAAGTAAGCTAAAGCGGAGGCAGCGAAGCTTCGTTTTGCTTCAGTCTACGCCAAAAATCCATAGACTTCGGTTTGGCCGAAGCAAAACGAAATTGACAACATTGATTTATATAGTGCATCTTAGGTGGATCTCAAAATTCGGATGGAAAAAACTTTCATATATAGTTTTTTTATACTATGGACCAACTACACATTATACTCCCGCAAAAGCACGATACTTTGACATTGTCACAAACCACCCATGTCTCAAGAGAATGTATGCCCCTATCCATATTGTTGTCACATTTATTTAGGGCTAACAATGGGCCGGGCTTGGACATTTCAGGTCTAGCATGCCTTTATCCCCACGGGCCCTGCATCATCATCATCATCAATAATATAGGCAGGAAGTCACCCAATGGTGATTTAGAGCTATTGTGTGATTTTCAGGTTTTGCGTACGGACACATCCGTAGGTGTAGAAGTAAGGTGCCCCTTCAAATTTT